GAAAATCTTTTTGCAATTGTCAATAGAAATTGATGCAAAGCACGCAAGAATCGTTTCGTGCATTAAAAACGGAAAATTTTTACGAAGTATCCACATTGAGAAAAAAAATGTAGTTAAGGTGACCACATCCATTTCTGACACCTTTAATGCGAGTTTAAATGTTATTGGAAACAATTTAATTTATAAAAATGTTGTATTTTTACTTATTCTGGATTAAGTTGCGGTTCTTTTCCATTCCTATGCCTTAAACATATTTATATTTCACAGCGGACCAGTGACTTTTAATATTGTCATTACCTGAGTTTGTAAATTTTTGTGAAAATTGAATTTTTTTATGCTATTAAATAGTAATTTCTCAACCAAACTCTGACTTTTTTTATTATGGTTCGTACTTTACTGTTACAATAGTTTGGGGGCACGCCGCGTGTGCTGACTTCCCGCAAAATGACTTTTATTACGCTATCGAACATATTTCACGAGTTAGTGCACTTACTGTACATATTTCTTTTGCTATAAAAAAAGCTTAACGCAAGACAACGCTTATAACGATGGTTAAAAGGCAACCAACTTCAATTGCGAGCCAGTTAAGACAAAAAATGCGCCCTGCTTACGCAAATGATGGCAGTGAATGTAGACAACAGAATCCAGTTCAATATTCAGAGCAAAGTCCCAGTACGTGCTAAAATGGAGGAAATGAAAGACCTTAAAGACTGATCGAGGAAAAACGCTAATAACTCAAGAATGGAAGGTAACTATGATTGACACAGTGGATTAACATGATTTAAAAAAGTAGTTTTTGGAAGAGCTACAGACAGGCTGAGGGTAAGTTAAAAGAAGCTAGCTGGACAGGAGAGGCAAATAACTAGTAGTAGCGAAAGTTTATACAGCCTTTAATACCGAAGTTAAACAAACAGTGCGTGGAAAAGACGCGTTTCCACTAAGAAGAAAAAGAGATTTGACAAATCAAATAGTGTTAATACAAGTTTGGACTGTCCGCATAGGAACTATAGGTCGAAATACACCCCCACTTCAATAATCAGCAAAAACGTTCCACTCTTGACAGAATAGTGACGATATTGACCTTCACATAGTAGTTGTTATTGTTCCCGATTATTTATTCTGTTTGCGTATGGGATATAACACCACCTTTGCTACTAAAAACTGCAAAGTCGCCTGAGGTAAATCAGTCATTTCAAAGGATATGAAACGATCAAAATGAAAATTATTGCGTAGCATGCCAAATCCTGCCAGGTAAAATTTAACAATTAAAGTTCCGATGGACACGTATAAGGAACTTGAAGCATTTTTTTGAAAATCAATCCTTTAATCCTCATTCGGCTGCATTTTGTGGCCTCCACAAATGCGCACAGTATTGCAGCAGTACATTTTGCACTCAATCGATTTTCATCTACATGTATTACCTTCTCTAATATGTGCAGCGGAAAGTCCCAGGGAAAGGGACATTCCCTAGGTAAGCATGTCACTATAAGTGGAAAGAACCGAGCCAATTGCGTGTCCATTTGAAATCTAATTTATCTTGCCTGTGCTTACGGCCCAGACGTGCGATAAAGCTCTTTTAATCCTCCCACTTTCAATCTATTTGGCTACGGAAGTTTTGAAATGGTCAGTTGTCGTGGTCAGATTGTAAGACTCCAATTAGGGGCTGGAGTAGATACAAGACACTTCTAATAAAGTAAACCCAGGGCTCAAAAAGACCAACTTAACAAAAAATCCATTCGGAGACCTTTTTCGCGTGGACGCCGTGCTCAGTAGTGCGCGAAATTAAAGCGGTCAAGCAGCGGCAAATGCCGCAAACCCAGCTTGTAATGAATAGCACAGTTGATTAGCCGCCTCGAAAAAAATCAAAAAAGAATAAGTCATTATGTCAGTCAGCCATTTCTAATGACAACATGAGGGTTTAATGCGAGTCAATGTGTTTGTTAATAGCTTTCGATCGCAAGAAATAGACCAAGGACAAGAGGACAGCAGTAGGAGAAACTAGTTTCTTTTTCAAATAAAGCAAGCCAACCATTGCAGAAGGAAACGGCAGCTTACGAAGTTTCCGAGGCCATGGAAGATTCCGGCGAGATTTCGTTTTTTCCACTACTAGAAGGCTGCCAGGGACGAACAGAGTTGGAGTCAGGGGTGCAAACGGAAAGAGAAGGGTTTGAATTCTTGGACTTCTGGTAGGCTGTCAGACGAAAAGAGAGTGTGTTGGGGGAAGCGGGGAGGTCACAGTCTGCTGGCTCTGAGGACATGGCTTTATTAGGCATCCACTTAAGGAGAAGGCCGTGCTCTTCACCACCTCCTAAGCGGTGCAAGGAGAGGTAACCGAGAATCTTCTTTGAACAGTGACTCTAGAAAAAACAAAAAAAACAACCTGATTAGGTAGCTGTATGGATATAAAGCAGTATACAAAGGAGAACCGGCAGGCATAGTACCAAATAGAGAAGGGGTAGGGACGACGGCATTTACTGTCAAATAGCTACATATATCTGTTGTTCGGTCAAGTGGTCAAAAAGCGTAAAGATTTGAAAAAGAATTCACTTTTTGATTAAGACCATTGATTATCTTACGGTGGTTTTCTCTATAAACGGCCAAACTTGGAACCTAAAAAGTGTTCTTCCAGATCGTGTCAAGTTCGGTTTACGAACAAAGACATGGCTCAAAGCGTCCTCATGGCCTTGGTGGCCTTTCAACCATGTTTTTAGCTGTTTTGTACAATTTCCATCCGTCTAAGACGACCTGGTGTGCCAGCGTT